AGCCACCCAGGGATCCCCTCTAATCATTTTTAATTATGTTACTCTAAATGTGCCAATATGAAAACACCTCTGACAATAACTAGGCAAAATGTAAACTGCAGTTTTAGAAAAGATAAACAGTACAATACTGTTCGTATAAATTTTTTGAAAAGTAAACTTTCTGCAAACTGTTAACAGTGGATTGCCTTTTGGTGGAAAAGGAAAAATAGCTTTTAATTTTCTGTACCATCAGAATGTTTTTATCATATACATGCATTAACTTCTAACTTAAAACATACAATTACTTAAAGTCCTCTCATTCCCACAACCTTAACCACTATTCTTACCATCAACTGTCCACACATTCCCCCCTCCTTCATCTCAGTATCTAAAAGTTGGCTAAAATTAAACTTGCCTGACAGGAATTTCAGCTACTAGAGAATATATTTTGGAAATATATTTTGGACATATATTTGAGGTTTTTCTTTAAAAAATCTCTTCACTCTAAAACACCTCTTAGCTGGAAAAAAAAAAAAAAAGAGAAAAAGATTTCCTACACTGCCCCGAAAACCATAAACTCTCATTTCCTATCGGGCCCCTAACCCTCCTCTCCTAGAGAGAGGTAATGCTTATGGTTATAATATCCTCCCCTTCTTCTAACAGTTGTATATGTAGTCTTGGCTAATTTCACTCTCCCACATAAAAAAAGAGCAATCTCAATTGTTACTGAAGAGGAGGAAGGCTTGCCCCTTGCAGAATTACTTAACAAGACGGCAAGGATCTTACCATCTGGTTTTCTCAGCTCTCACCACCTTGATGCAGATGGCCAATCACTACTCTAAACTTCTATAGGGCAAGATCTCAGTCCTTTTACAAGATCATCTCTGGTACTCTATGTATATGGAAACTTAATATTTGTTCATTTCACCTGAATCAGGTTAGAGCATTCTTTGTCAACGGGGGAGGGAGGTTAGAAGAGTACTTCCAGGTTATGGCCCTTTAAAGATGCTTCCTGCTTTAATCAGTCTTCCTCCACTCTCCTTAGCCACTTATAAGTTTTACAACTAAACCAAGTACTTCTAATTACTGCTTATTCATGTCTAATTATTAGAACACAATAACTATTATGGATATTAATGGCTTAAGATTTACTTTAAATTTTGCTCACCTGAGTTCAGTCTTCAGAATTCTCTCACTGTGCATGATCACCACCCCCCCCATCAACTAAAAACAATTACAGTCTCAAAGCAGCAAACTTACCCTATTTTTGAATTACTGAGAAAGGATTAAAAATCTTTTCCACATAATGGGGGAAATGGTTATAATCACGTTCATAACATTATAATGTGAGGCAGAACTGACTTCCACATAAGGAGGAGTCAGAACTGCAAACCATTTGGCAGCTTCTTAAATACACTTAAAAAGTAAATACATTCTAAGTATTTGGGGAATACTAATTTTTGGAATTAGTTTTTGAGGAATACTCAAACTAAACACAATTTTCTGTAAATATCTATTTGAATTGGAAGTGACAAATGGTTTGTATAGCAAACTGAGTTTAAAAGTCTAAAAAAAAAGTACACACTCATCACACATACATACATAACAAAGTCCAATACTAACCTCAAAATTACTCTGGTTTACAAGTTTCGGGAAAATAAATAAATGCCATGTCAAGTAACATTGCTCAATGGGAGATCAAGCAACTCCACAAGAGAAAGACACACAAAAGGTTATCTTCTAAGACAACTTAAGCAGATTGAGGGATCCCTGGGTGGCGCAGCGGTTTAGCGCCTGCCTTTGGCCCAGGGCGCGATCCTGGAAACCCAGGATCGAATCCCACGTCAGGCTCCCAGTGCATGGAGCCTGCTTCTCCCTCTGCCTGTGTCTCTGCCTCTCTCTCTGACTATCGTTAAAAAAAAAAAAAAAACAACTTAAGTAGATTGAATTCTGAATAAAATTATTAAAACCAACTCTGAAACAGATGGTTAACCTTGAAACTTTATTTATTGACTGAATGAATTTAAAGAGAGGAGAAGGTAATGAAGAATAATATACTACCTGGCAGTAATTTTAAATATTACTTAAGTACTGAATTAAACAATACAGACCACAAAGAAGAGATTCTAAGCTTCCACAAGAAACTAAGAGTTACCCCAATTCCACCACATAAATAGGACTGTGACTTTGGATAAATCAATTAAATAACAATCTGAACCTAATTTCTCATGCACATGGTGAGTTGATGACCAGCTTTAAGTTTCCTAATAGCTAACACTGACAAAGGAAACACAAATGTATTCTTTTCTAACTTAAATTATACACAGTACTTGTCATCCAAGCCAAATCACTGTTGAGTTCTGTTGTCGGCACACACGATCAAAAAAAAAAAAGTAGCAATGAGGAAGCCAAAGGATAATCCTAATTCAAGAGGGAGAAGCAGAAAAACACAGAAATTCCCAAAATATCCCCTTCCCCCACCCCGCCCACCCACAAATTTCTAGGTGTATTTTACCATTTCATTCTTCATCAGGGCAAGTCTTGTCTGGCAAGGGTATCACATTATTTTAGGCTTAACAAATTATTGATAAAGCCATGTCCTCAAAATGTTACTCTTATGGTCTGTTAAAACTGCAGAACAATTTTTAAATTAAAAAATTAAAGCAACTTTCATTCAACAGCCAACTCAGACTACCTGTCAAATAAGCAACATTTCATGACATCTCATGACAAGAATCACTATCATCACATTTTCTCCTGTAATTCCTGGGAAAGGTGAGGGGAAAAACAGACGTACCTAGACAGGAATAAACGCAACATTAAAAATACAAAAGCTGCTGTGAAAACAAAGCTAATACAAGAATCTCAAAAAAATGAGAAAATAAGAAAGGGTGCAAAAGTCCTTAAAAAAAAAAAAAAAAAAGCCAATCCAAACAGTACCCTGTCGTTTAAAATATTCACACCTTAAAGTAACACCCACCAGCAAAAATGGCCATTTTCTAAACAACAAAAATTCACTACTTCAGCCACTGCAGTAATCAAAGAATGTCTAAAGTGCATCTTTTCTATATGTAAATTTGTAAATCTGTTTCCAAAGAAAGTTACTGAATATGCGTTTACAGTTAAGTTTTTGAGAATAAATCTATCTTAACATAAGACGTCCCACGTTGAAACTTTCACCTACATATTCACCACTATAAATTTTAATTAGGTTTTCTGCTGTCACCAGGTGATACAAGATTAATTGTTCCACAACCCGACCTGCATACACTACAGGAATGCTCCTCTTACTGTCCCTAAAAGTGCTAGCATCTGACAAATGTGGTGCATAGATAAGAAGTGTCCTTTCTAGCCTTTATTTTGCTTAATACCACACTTCCGTAATTTTAACTATTCTTACTTAAGCACCTCGTGAGTTAATATTTTTAAAATGCTCTAACTTGGAACTTTATGTACATGTGTTAGTTGGGAACAATGATTATGTCTATCCATTCAAGTTTTAAATAATTGTCCTTTATTTACAGCTCACCTCGTGTCCTGGCACACTTGAGTTTTTAAAGTTTACCAGGAAGACTGTGGAAAGAAAGACTCCCAACTCACTCAAGACCGCTGACCTGCCTTCGAAATAAAGGCTGTATCCCAAAGTCTAGGAAACTATTTAAGAAGGGTAGGGTCGTTCAGGACAGCACTGCCCGTCCATCGTTTCATAATCAAAGTGTGCAAAGAGCGTTCACAGTACATTCTTCAAAGCAAAATAAAGGGCTCCCTTTTATTGGGTTGGTCAGGATTCTTAAAACGTGTGTTCAGAGAGTCGGGAACTGCCCTTTCGAGCCCTTCCCCGAGTTCCCACCGTCCCCGGGAAGGCAGGCAGCAACCTGGCAAGTCCCAGGGCGAGGCGCCGCATTTCAGGGCTCAGATTCATTCCTTCAAATAACTGTGCCTCTGCCCGGCGCAGCCTCAACGCATGCACCAGACAACATACAAGATCTTCCTTCTGACCAAAAACTTTTCAAGCGTCAGGAAGAACACAGAGTGCAAATATGTCCCCTATTCACAGCTGCACGCCTCTTCCATTGTCATTCCGACTCCGAGGCTTCCTGGAGCAGAGCCGGAGCCCAGGAGCCGCCCGGGAGGAGTCCCCGCAGCCAGGGCCGAGCTGCTGCTCCGCCAGGTCCTCAGGTTCCCCCAGCACCAGCTCCGAGAGCGCGGTGAGCGCGCTTTATCTCCGGCGACAGGCGAGTAACAGTGTAAAAATGTCACACTCCGGCAGCGGGTCCGCTGGCGCGGAGCAGAGGCCGGGCGGGCGGGCGGGCGGCGCGGCGCGGCGCGGCGGGGCGGGGCGGGGCGCGCGGGGACCCGCGGGGCGGCGGGGGCGCCCGAGGCCCCACGCCGCCGCGGGCTCAGCCCCGACCCGCGCTCCCCACCCCTCGCCCGGAAGGGGGAAAACCCGCCAGCGGGAGGATTCAACAGGAGCGCCGCGCCGCCCGCCTGCCGCCCGGGAAACAGCCGCCGGCCGGCCGGGACGCGGGGGGAGGGGGGAGGGGAGGGGCAGGGGCGGCGGCGGCGGCGGCGGCGGCGGCGGCGGCGGCGGCCGGGCTGCGGGGCGCGGACCCCCGCCCGCCCTCCCGCCCGCGCGCAAGGTCACCGCCCGCGCCCCGCCGCCGCCGCCGCCGCCGCCGCCGCGGGCGCCCCGACCGGGGCCAGGGCGGCAAGTTTAATTTCCCGAGGCTGTGACGGAGCCCGCGGCGTGGACGGAGCGCGCCGGCCGCGGGCCCTCCCCACCCCCACCCCCACCCCCAGCGCGGCCCCCGCCCCCCGCCCGCGCCCCGCTGTCCCCGGCCCGGGCCGCCGCCAGGCAGCAGCCGCCGCAGCCTCCGATGCCGGGAGGCGAGTCTCGGCTGGCAGACGGGCGGCGCTTGAGCCCCGCCACAGACACCGCCGCGGCGGCGGGCGCCGAAAAATGGAGCGCGGCGGGCAGAGGAGAGAGACCTTTTCTTTCCGTTAACTGAATGGTTTCCTACCTCCGGGCTCCCGACTCGCGACTCCTCTCACTCCGCTGCTCTCCGGGCTCCGCCGCCGCCGCCGCCGCATCCAATCGCCTCCTCCCCCCCTCCCCTTCCGCAGCCAGCCCGGCCGTTCCTCCTCCTCTCCGCTTCAAAATGGCGCCAAGCGCTCTTCGGCGGCTGCTCCAATCGAACCGCCGCGGACAGCACCCAGGGGCAGGCGGTGCGCGGCGTGGGGGCGCAGCGCCCCCTGCCGACCAGACGGCCCCGGGCGCGCGCCCGCCGGCCCGCTGGGCTCCCGGCCGGCCCCGCCCCCGCGCGCGCCCGGCTCCGCCCCGCCCCCGCGCGCGCACGCGCAGCCGCCCGGGCGCCGCCGCTGAGGCCGCGGAGGCCGCGGGGGCCGCGGGGGCCGCGGGGCGCGCAGCTGTCAGTGCTTCTCTGCCTCTGCTTTTCGCGGAAAACCGTGTAAATTGTGACATATCCCCAACTTTGGGGATGAAACTTCGGTATTTTTTAAGACACCGAAGTTGAATACTGATGCCGTGCCATGCAAATGAAATCAGAATTAACTAACTACTTTGCTCTTTATTTGGTGACTCTTACCCAGTCGTCTCAAAATAGCGCAGAATAGGCTTTTTCTGCGCCGTATTACGTCTCTACTTAATCCACAGCTTTCCCATTTTGAGGAGCTGGTTAAGCGGCAGGTGGGAAGAGGAGCACAGGGATTCAACCTGGAACAAAGCATTCCTCTCGTTTGTTATCACAGTTGTCCTTACTGGAGGGAGGAATCCTCTGAGCACCACCAGACGCCCTGCAGGAGGGAGATAGGTTTCTTTTTTTTTTTTTTAATTTTTATTTATTTATGATAGTCACAGAGAGAGAGATAGAGAGAGAGGCAGAGACACAGGCAGAGGGAGAAGCAGGCTCCATGCACCGGGAGCCCGACGTGGGATTCGATCCGGGGTCTCCAGGATCGCGCCCTGGGCCAAAGGCAGGCGCCAAACCGCTGCGCCACCCAGGGATCCCGGGAGTTAGGTTTCTAACCCCCTTCACCCCTCCTGCAGCTTTGGGGGAGTGTATTAAGAGTTGGTTTGACAATTGCTATTAGGACACACAGGAAAACACCTCAAAGAGGCTTAGATTCTAACAAAAGAAACCGTGTTTTATACAACAGCAAATAGATCTACAGAAATTTGTAATGTAAACCTTCACTTAAAGCACCACTATTTAGAAAACCTGGAATCTAAAACTGGTATTAAAACAAAAAGCTGCAATTCATCAAGGGAAAAGTAATTGGATGTGGCATAATTTAAGATGGTTAAGAACATAAACCATTCAAAAATTAGCTGTGACTGCTGCCTACTTCCAAGAAAGAGGAATTATGTGGGAATGATGTAAAAAAAAAAAATGCTGATTTTACACAGACTTGATTAGGAGAATTATCTTTGATTATAAAGAACCACAAATCCAGTCACCAGCTGTACTAGTTTTCCACTACTGCTGTAATAGATTATCACAAAGTGCCTTACAGTTCTGTAGTTCTGAGGACTGGCATCAAGGTGTTGGCGTAGCTGTGTCCCTCTCTGGAGAGTCTAGGGAAGAATCCATTTTCTTGCCTCTCCGTCTACTAGAGGTTGATCACATTCCTTAGCTCTTGTCCCACTTCCTTCATCTATACAGTCAGAACAGCAGCATCCCTCTGATCTTGTTTCCATTGCTACATCTCTTTCTCTGACTGCCTTCTGCCTCCTTATTCACTTTTAAGACCCCTGGTGATTATATTGGGCCCACCTGAGTAATCCAGGAAAACCCACCTCATTTAAGGTCATATGATCAGCAGCCTCAATTTGATCTGCAACCTTAATTCCCCTCTGCCATGTAAACATATTCACAGGTTCCAAGGAATGTGACAGGAACGTCTTTGGGGACTATTATTCTGCCTATCACATTACTCGTATTTGGGTTATCTGGACCTTTTGTTTTCTTTTGGTAGGTTATAAAGCTGAAGTTAAGGGAATTAGGAAGTTGGAAGACAGCACGAATACACATGGTTAATGTGAACAACCCTAAAAACACCTACATTGCCCTTAGTGTGTTTTGAATACTCCTCTACTACACTCTGCTACACCTCTAGACCAACCTCACAACGCTACACTAGATGATGGTTTCTGAAATCTTCAGGTGTTACTCTACACCTGAAGCCAGAAATCATATAGTCTTGACTATCTACCCTACCCTATCTGGGGGACACTTAAACCTTGCAGGATGTGGCAGGAAGTATGCCAGCAGATGTGTGCTGAAAAATTGTCTCTTGAGAATCTAGAATTTCAATGAATGCGATTTGATAGAAAATAATTTCCAGGTTAAAAAGAAAATAGAATGCTGGGCAGCCCCGGTGGCGCAGCGGTTTGGCGCCGCCTGCAGCCTGGGGTGTGATCCTGGAGACCTTGGATCGAGTCCCACATCAGGCTCCCTGCATGGAGCCTGCTTCTCTCTCTGCCTGTGTCTCTGCCTCTCTCTCTCTCTTTGTCTATGAATAAATAAATAAATTCTTAAAGAAAAAAAATGTAAATGTTTAAAAAAAGAAAATAGAATGCTATATGAATGTACTCTCCTCTAGAAACATAGTACTTAGTGTTGGCAATTATATTTATTGAAATATGTGAATTGCAAAAATAATGTAAGTCAGAATCACTTTCAAAATGCACTGGAAGTATGCTGAACTATGAGAAACTGTGTGGGTATGTCAAAAGAAAAAAGAACAATTTCTGAAAGGCCATGTCTGATCAGAATATTGTTTTACTTTCACATATATCATTTCATTCCAAAAGCAATAAAATATTTATCATACATAATCAAGCGTGTTAGCTAATTAGACAATGAGGAGACTGGGCCCTACTTAGATATAGGCTGTTATTTATTCTGTGTAATTTGAAATACATCGCAAAGTCCAGTCAAGCTGAAAACATGACCCCCGCCTGCCTTGTACAACAGTGCTGAAATTCCACTAGACTAATTCTTTGAGTTAAGGCATTGGATCTCCAGAAAACATGTTGAAACCTGGTTATATTACTTGAAAAAGGTAACCTGCTAGCCTAGTAGTTATCAATTAGCAGAGACTAAGCCAGGTCGAAATCAACTTTGTGATATTTAGGCATTAGTCAATCAGGCAAATGAAGTAATCTCCAAATCTCTGAGGTCAGACTCTTGTTCATGATGTGGCCATCATGGAAAGATAGCATAGGGGCTCTTCTCCTCTCCCCTCATCCAAAACTCAGCTTCTGGTGCCTAGAATTCCTCCCTTCATGATTAATTCCCTGTATTAAGCATCGTGCCCATTCTGTGACCCTCTTTATTTGTTTTAAGTAAATTCTACCCCCCAGTGTGGGGCTCAAACTCACAACCCTGAGATTGAGAGTCACATGTTCTACCAACTAAGCCAGCCAGACACCCCTTAAACTTTGTTCTATTTTTGCCCATTCATTTTTTAAATTTTTCTTTGCTTATTTTTTTTTTAAACGTAAGCTGTATCCCCAATGTGGGGCGTGAACTGAAGACCCTGAGATTATGAGTGTGGTATGCTCTACAAACTAAGCCAGCCAGGTGCCCCTTCTGTGACCCTTTTTAAAATACAAATATTCCTGAAAGAATGCCACATTGATCTGGTCTCAGGGCAGTGGTTCTCAACTGAAGTGGAGTGGAAGAACCCCAAAATCACCTGGGAAATTTCTGCAAACCTCTGAGCCCACCCTTCTGCCACCTTACATTAACAGATTATTTTCTTTTCTATGGAGAGAGATAGGTAAAAGAGACAGAGCTGAGAAAGATGCTGGGATTTCCAAGCAGGAAGAAGAACTAGAAGATTAAGGATGCCACAAAGGAAATTTAGGGGAAGGTGACCTTTGCCTACCTCGTAACACTAGAGCTAGCAAACATAAGCTAAGGCAGCTCTCTTCTTTCTTTCTTCTTGAAGAAAATGTTTTCTTTTGAACATTGTCTTGGAGATCAATTGTCTTAGAGGTTGTTAAGTACATTTTGTTCCTTAAAGAATTCTAGACCATCTTTTAGCTACCTAATAAGTAATGGTGCTCCTGATCTCCTATACAGGAATCATGCTAAAATTCTTTTTTTCTGGAAAAACTCTCTGGGATCTTTGGAGAAATGTGTGTATGTGTGTGTTATCAAATATCATTTGGGTAAATAAACACACTTGGTAGAGTCATCTTGGTTTCCTGGGAGTTGAATAGCGTAGGTCACCATTGTGATTGAGGTCTGAGCTGCTGACTATTTCTGAATGTATAAGGCAGAACAGCCTAAGCAAAGACCATTCACTCTTACCCATAGTCAGCACTCCACAGTGTGTGCAATCCACGGGCCTGCACTTGATTAATGGGAGGAAATTGCATTTATTTACACTCTAAATCCATGCTGTCCAACTGAAATACAATGTGACCATGTATGCAATTCAAAACCTTCCAATTTTAAAAAGTAAAAAGAAACCAGTGGTATTAATTTTAATAATATTTTATGTAACATATCCAACATACTGTCATTTCTACATGCAGTCAATACAAAAATATTTTACGGGATATCTTACATTCTTTTGTTCACATTGTGAATTTTACATTTAAAGCACATCTCCGGGGGCACCTGGTGGCTCAGTGGTTGAGTGTCTGCCTTGGGCTCAGGACATAAATCCTGGAGTTCTGGGATCAGGTCCCGTATTGGGCTCCAGTATGGAGCCTGCTTCTCCTCCCTCTGCCTGTGTCTCTACCTCTCTCTGTGTCTTGAATGAATGAATGAATAAATAAATAGAAAGAAAAAAAGAAAGAAGAAAGAAAGAAAGAAAGAAAGAAAGAAAGAAAGAAAGAAAGAAAGAAAACATCTCTGTTCCTGCTAGTGATATTTCAAGTGCTTTGTAAGCACATGTGGCAAGTAGCTTCCTTTGTTGACAGCACAGCCAATAGACCCTGGAATCAAAAATGCTACTTTTAACAACTTGTAATACAGAGCAAACATTGTTTCACTATAGTTCATTGCAACTATTGAAGCTTGTTATAAATTATGTTAATATCTGTTGAAGTGCATGTATATTTATGGT